GACAGAGAGAAACTCGAAACCCGAAAAGTTAAGTATGTAGTCCAATTTTTTTCTGGTTTGCGTCTTGTTTGTTCAAATGTGTATGTACTACCTTAAAATAGAATATTGAAAATGCTGCTAGTGACTGTCCAAAAGTGAATGCTAATGTATTCGTCGATAAAAAAATTCTCATAAACTACTTTATAGCTTTTTAACAGCTATTGCTTGCTGCGCTCGTTCATTGGTTCAGGGTTATCTCTAGCACTTTGTAGCATTTTAGAATTCAGAACATACTATTAAGTACTAGCTAGTGAATTTTTAAATTAAAATTTAGTAGCATTACAATTTTGAGCTGAAATTTTAATAAGTTTGTAAGCACTCGAAATATTAATACATAGCAAGCAATGAATGTTCATTTCTATTGTACTCGTGGGTCACTCCATGTCAAATTGACCAATGGTGTTGGTATCGACCAATGGTTGGAATCGACTATTTTTGATTGGAATGAAATTTGATCAGAACTTTTATTTTATCATATAATGATGTTCTGCCAAAGGAAAAATAAAATTAACATTTATTCGAAAATTGAAAATTTCCCGAATTTCGAAAGTTTATTTTTTGAGTATCTCAAAACCAGTTAAAATTGTTACAAAAATGGTTCTGGCCCCGTTTTAAAGGTCTTGGGTTATAAAAAAAAAAAAAAAATTTAAATTAAAAAGTTAGGTAATGAATTTTGAAATTTAAAAAATTGTAAAAGCAAAAACTCTACTAATACCTAAATCGTCTGCTAAGTTTGTTTAATATACAATGCCTCTTACTGATCTTAAAAGATCCTGCAATTTTTGCGCAGGTTTTTTTTTCAGTATGACTTTTTTGAACTTTGAAAAAAAATGTTGCAAACTCTAAACTACAAATAAATTTATATTAAAGAAAATTTATTTATCATTACTTAATTGAGAGTTTGGAAAAAACTTTTTTGAAAGTTCAAAACTTGATATACATATTTAGAAAACAAATTTTTATAAGTTTTTACTTTGACGATTTTTTTAATTTTAAATTTGTGTAAATTTTTTAAATTTAATTATTTGTTGTTTTTTATAATTTTTGTAGAAAGTCTGACGCTGAAAAAAAAAATCTCAAAAATCAACGGGATTTTTTAGCGGTTTAAAAGTTGCATTTCATCTGACTAAAATTTTATGGGCTTTAAAACAGCATTCCCAAAAATATTCTAAAGATTCAGATTAACAAGTTGAAATTTTGATGAAGGTATTGTTGAATTTTCCTAAATTTTGTATAAAGGTTGAAACTGTGATTTATATGTTTTTGGTTAAAATTTGGACAGTATTTTTATACTATATATATAAATAAAATAACAAAAAAAGTTCAGCTCGAAAAACATTACGATTATTTAAGAAAAAAATCAACACGTGGTCATTTGTTTGAGTCACTGTAAATAAGGATTTTATGAATATCTTTCTAATCACCTCAAATTCGGAACGTAAATACGGGTTTTCTGAATTTCTCGTCTCTAGCGACACCTAGCGTAAAAGTATCCAATAATAATACCCAATTGTTTATTTTAAAATTTTCAATACTAACGCTTTTTTTTGCATTTGCGTGGTTTTTGGTATTGCATCTTTTTAGAGTTTCGGGGACCCATAAAAAATATGTATTTAATATTATATTAAAAATTTCTAATATTATTGGAAGTCTCCTGATGAGAAACAGAAAAATATTGATTTTCAAGAATTATATGCCATTTTAACGAAATTTTTTCCCCCACATAAAATACATGAACAACTTTGAGCGCTTTGGGCGACCTCTAAATATTTTTTTATTTCAAAATAAACACAATCCTAGGGGTGAGAGCGTTAAAATTCCGACTTTACTTTTTTTTTGACCACCCTAATGTACATACATATGTATGTAAATATGAAACTATACATAATTGTATGCAAGTGTATTATTTAAGTACCTGCTTGACAACAAAGAACAAAGAAAAAAAAATTTAATCGATTTAAAGCCATTGCACAGCTGTAAATGTTAGACTTCTTCTAGGTATGTAGAACGCTTTAAAATTTCAACCTCATTGTCTACAAAGTAGGCATTGTCTTCGACTCAACTTTTCGGCCCATTGTGTTTGTTTAGTGATAAAGAAAATTTATATTTACAATCGAACGAAAACAAGCTTATGACCGAGGGCCATTTGATACAACTGTAAATAACCTGTTTGTCAACAAACAACAACAAGAAAATCAGGTTAATGCTTTTAGCGATAGGAAATTTTTTTGTGACAGCTAACGAAAAACTAATTAAACCAACCACGTTGGCTATTTCTTGTTAAGCGCTTGGATATGCAACAGTTCCAAACCAGACGTGTAGACATTTTGGATTAAAAAGTAGAAATGTTTTAACTGAATTCAGTAAAAAAAAAAATAAAAGATTAAAACTCTTGCAGACAGAGCTAAAAAAATTGGCTAAACAAATTTTAGCGTTCCAGATTGCCTATGAGGAAGAATAATATTTTCAGCATTAAGTGCTTCTCAAAATATAAGCTTTTAGTGACCTCAAAATTAAGCCAATGTGCCATTAGTTTTTCATAACCTTTTAATTATAATTAAAAAAAAAATAATAAAATTCAAACAATTTGCCAACCGCAAGGCCATCACATACGCTTCAGCTGTCAATTTATTTTTTCTGTTATAAAAATTTTCGTTAGCCATTAGTTGCTATTAATATTAAACTACGCAAAAAAAAAACATTGCCTAACAAATCACTTTAATTGCTTATGCATTGAGATTTTTTTTTTGCAAACCATACTTTTTGGCCAAAACTTTTTACGTCAATGCGAATAAGTTATGGCTGTGATTATAGCTCATTGTCATACAATCACGGAATAGTGCGATTTGCTTTAATACAGTTGGCAATTAAAATGATTGAATAGCGCTAAAAATATTTGGTGGGCAGCTGCCCCATCCGAAAGCGAATTGGATTTGACCTCAATTTTGATGGCGGCTCAAGCAAAAATTACTTTTTTAGTTTTTTTGTAATGTTTTTTATCTGCTTGAATGATGATTATTTTAATAGCGGCGATTTGTATTTTTTTTTCTATTTGGCCGCAAGCTAATATGTCTGAAACAAAATGCTAATTTTTTTGCGGAAACTAACCTTAAAATATGGGAAAGTATTTGATATTTTTTAATGTTATTTGTCTACTATATACTTATATACACAAATACGTAATTCTTTTATGGTGACAGGTAATAAGGTCAATGGAAATAATGTCAATTGACTTTATTTCCCACCCTGGTGCGAAATAAAGTCAATTGACATTATTACCTTTTCAAAAGCGAAATAAAGTCAACAAAAATTTGGAAATAAAGTCATTGACGCTATTTCCTCATTCAAATGGAAATAGCGTCAACAATGCTTAAAGTATGTCGATTCATAGAAAAAAATGTTGTTCTTACAATAAACATTGCCCCGTAAGTGTTGTTTTTTAATAGAAGAAAAAGGCTTTTGCCAAATCCTCAGTGTTGTGATATTAATCCACACACAATCATGAACTACCACCAAGTGATTCTATTAAAAAAAATTTAAATTACGAATATGTAAAAACACGATGGGAAAAACTAAACGCCTGCGCACAGCTGGAATATGAGAAATATTTGAAGAAATAGTGGAGAAATAATCCATAACTTGCAAAACATTTTTCGTTTCTACAAAAATAAAGCGAACACTATTAAATTGAAGAAACAGTACATGTCCAAAAACCCCGGAGCAGCACTGAAAGAATTCTGTGTTTTAAATTAGCATATTTTGAACGAATTCGGAATGTCTAAGGTGGAAAAGACCCCAACTTTTCTATAAGGAAACAATTATTATAAAAGAATCTTCTTACACTGTATTTATGCCTCCGCCAGCAGTCATTTAAAAGCAGCTAAGGAGAACGACGACACTACTTATTAGATGGCACATTCAACGAGCCAATGTGCCAAAATGCGGGTATAAACAATTATTTATTATTTAATATCGGAACCGAGATCATATAAGTTAATTGATTGGTTTTCACACACTTTTGAAACACAAATTATATGCTTTTTTACTGCAGACAAGTTGTTGCCTCAAAACACAGCAGAAATCTTCCAATCAGGGCTGCCAACTCTCCTTAGTTATGAGGTGCCATATTGAGAATAAAAAAAGTACCAAAATGTGCCAAATAGAAAAATAAAAGTGCCAAAAAAGGTGTAATTCCTTTTAATCATTCACATTTAGCAATAAAATAAAGCCACATTTTCAAAACAAAAGTGCAATGATAAAATAAGATAAACCAGTCGAAAAGCCTTTACAAATTAGAAAATTTTAGTTGAGAAAAAGAAGTGCACGCAAAGGATTTCACAAAACTGTATTGAAATGTTATTTTTTTTACAAAAGTGCCATTTTGGCATTTTGTGCCAAATTGAAAAATTAAGTGCCATTTGAAGTAAAATAGGAACAAATGGCACGGTTTGAGCCAAGTTTGCATCCCTGCTTCCAATAACTTACAAATATAAAAATGTGAAATATCGAGGGCTTGAATTCATTAATACCCTCTATCTGCAATTTGCACAAAAACTAATTTGTGAGTTTAGAAACCATCTGGGACTTATTACCTGTCGTTATATAAGGTAACATTAATATCACTGATGACAGCGGCGTAGCGTGACGTGGTGTGCGCGCCGGTCGCGCTGGGAACGCGAGCGCGACGCGCGCGGTGTGGCGCGCTGACGCGGGCCGCCGCGAAGCTAAGCAAATTTAATGTTTGAAAGAGAAATAACGTCAATTGATTTTATTTCGTTTTTAAAAAGGTAATAATGTCAATTGACTTTATTTCGCACCAGGGTGGGAAATAAAGTCAATTGACCTTATTTCCGTTGATCTTATTACCTGTCACCTTCTTTTATATCTTCAAATATTTAAATGATTCGAGTTTGTATTTATCACTAAAACTAATAAAACTTTTATGTCTCTTACCTTTACAGTGCATCTGGAACAAGTGCCGTTGCGATCGATAACAAGATCGAACAAGCTATGGTAAGTCTACACGTAATTTTACTACATTTCAAGGCTAAGATAATAACTCTTAGGATTGGGAAACTACTGAGCGTATTATCGTCCATAGAAAATATCTCCGTATTAATGAGCTTTGTCCTGGGAAAAAATTAATTTTCAGGAGCTTTTAATAACAACATCCCTTACAAGCAGCAACTTAGACTCCAGGTAGAAAAATGGATTTTATAGTTTTTGGTGAAGGTATTTGTTGGTATGCAGTAGTCAGTGCTTGCATGTATCGGTATGGGCGCTCTTTTGTGCCTAGGATTATCGAGTGGCCGAATGTAGCATGAGTCCAGAACCTGCCTCTCGTAAGTCTTAAGGCTGCAATAATGGTTATTTCTCGAGCAACTAGGGGAAGATCAAAGAGCTTCGCTTATGCATAGCTCCGCACTCCTTTGTACCCTTTGAAATTGTTTGAGCTCGATGTTGTCTAAGCGTAGGCCACCATATTAGGGTTGCGTAGAACGGAATCGGGCGAACTACCTTAGTTGAGAAACCACAGGATACACCAATTGCCTCTTTACGTGCGCAGAGCGCAGTGGTGGCTTTCTTGATGCGTTCCATTGTATTGTTATATTCTTCCAGAGCAGTTCGCTGTCAAGAATTACTCCAAGACACTTGGTATTTAGTACGTTTAAATTCCAGACTAGAGCCATCGAGTTTAGAGGGTGGAAGAACCGTGGCTTTTTACCGTCGGGTAAAAAGGACTAGCTCATTGTTAGCTAGGTTTACCTCAAGACCGCAGGTTTTGGTCTGATCTTTGGTTGGAGTGAAGCAAAAGCGGCTTCTATAGGATCGCATAGAGTTTGAGGGAAGGGGAATTTTTCATGTACGATAACCGCAACATCATCGGCGTATAAGGCAACTTCATACCCATACGCCGCCATGCGTAGCAGAAATTGGTTCACTGTTACCCATAAGTGTGGAGAGAGAACATTCCCCTGCGGAATGCCGCTCCTGACAGACCTGCGAGTTGTCTGTCTCCATAATTTCGAGCTCACCACCCTCCTGGTGAGCAATTGGTGGATGATCCCAACCAGAGTTTTCTCCACCCCCAGGTCCGTCGAAGCCGAGGTATCCGCATACGGGAGGACATTGTTGAAAGCCCCTGCTAGCAATCCGTCGCTTGGCGCGCAATACCTCGTATACGCCAAATGCAATACCTCGTATACAATGGTACTGAAATTTTACAGGAGAGCAAGAAAACTGATTTTTTTGAAAAGTACTGGATTGTTTATAAACTGAACATACTTACTATTAGACTGTGGTATCATCAATATTGTGGAGGCAATATATTAAAGAAAGGATTTTAAAAAGCTGTAAAAATCGCTGTTTTTCATGTACGTGGTATTGCTGATGCGATATTTTTCATTTCAATCTTATACGCGGTATTGAAAATATATACAAAGATAGCAACGTAATCCAGTTTATTTGCAATTAGATAGTTAATTTTACAAATTATCTTGAAAATATTTTTTAATATTATTAAATATTAGGCATTAAATATGTAAAAGTTAGGTTTCATACGGCAAACTATCGTAAAAACTGTGACAATCTTTAGGTAAAACTTGTTTTAGTTCTTGTAAATGTTGAAATTTATTTTTTTTTTTTATTTTTAAACGAGATAGAAAAGCTTTTTTAAATTTCTTTTGGAGGGATTTTTTTTCGGTCGACGGGGTAATGGGATGAAGTCTTTTTTGAGGTCTAGTTTGTACCGAATTGTACCGTTAGGCAAGTAATGAAGCGCTCGTAGATCAACAACTACATTATCCCCTGATCCTCGGCCGGGTCGTATAGACTCATATATAAAGGACTTCTGATCACTATAATCATTCAAGAATGAATGATCAATTATTTTAACCTTATATGGAAATGGTTTTCTACGCGCCCCTTGCGTCGCCAGGGCATATTGGCTTGGCAAATAAATTTCTTGATTTTTTAATATCCTTTCAATTACCGAATGAACAGAATCTACTTCCATTTGGGTATGCCCTTTCTCCAAATATTTGTGAAAAATATCTACTTTGTATTCCATGGCAAGTCTTAGCAAAGCATTGGAAAGAACAGTATTCCTGTTTTGGTATGTGCACCCGTCCGTGTAAATTACTACTGGTTTGGGGTCCTCACATAGTATTGACGTAATGTAATCAATATAGAAATTTGTGAAAGATGATGCTTTCAGATCACCCTCGGTCTCATCAAACCAGTAGCACATAACATCCTTTGTAGCCAGATTATATATTGTGAAGTTGTGAACAGCAAGTTTGGTTTTGTAGTAAGCAGCACTAGCATTTAATTTTGGGCATAATTTTAGAGCTTGTAAATCAGCTGTTATCAAATGAATTTCACCATTAAGAGCCAACGTTTTATCTTTACATTTTTCAGCTCTAACAGTATTTTTTCGATCTATGTGAACATTATATTCTTTTTCCGATATATTCTTAGTTTTAAAACCGCAACATATATTACACTCGTCCTTTTTTGGATTAAATATTCCCAAATTTTCTTTGAAAAATACACTATCAAACACTTTTCTGGAAGCGACAGGTTGCAACAGTTGTTCAGCTTCAATTTTATACGTATTATATAACTGACTCTGAGTATTAAAAACGGGCTCAAGGTATAATTTATTTGAAGAAGCTCTGCAGTAGTGGGAAGGAAGCTTTGGAAGAGAATCTAAAAACTGTTTAACAAAAGTTCTTTTTAGGGATAAATTTGGGTCCTTTGTTACAGGGAAGGGACGTTTACCCGCTGGAAGAATAGTCCAGGAACGAACTGTCCACTCTTTTAAACTCAAGGTATTCAAAAACATGTTCTTGCAAACTCTTAATCTATCATTATTAAGCCTCAAATGATAAGTAAGAGTGTTTGATCGCCTTGACTCGTTCTTTGCTCTCTTTGCCTTAGAAATATCTACAAGGTTATTTACATATGTTTTTTTCTCATTCCAATTCATATTTTTCCAAAAGCTTTGGAAAATCTGTTGCCTGATCTCATCGTTAAATTTATCACAAAAGGAAATTTTACTTTTTGCGCAAGTGGGTGGACAACGTGCAGCCTTTAGTTCTCTTTTCCTGCGAGCAACATCGTGATATATTTTTTTGTGAGTCCGTCTAATTCCCAAATAATCTTCACCCATCATTATCTTTTTTTTATTACTTTCCCTTTTTCTCTCTCCTGCTGAACGCTTGCAATTTCGTTTTATTTTATTTACGCTACCTTCCAATAGTTCTCTTTCCGGTGTGTGATCAACGGAAACCGGTTCACTGAAATCGCAATCCCCTCTCTCACCTTCCATAACTGGTTTGGTACAGTTGTTGTTGTTGGTACCGCATGTCGACCAATCCATTGCTTTGGTATCAACCGTCCCACATTTTGTAGAAACAACACTATCAGAGGTCGCTTGAAAGTCATCTATTGCTTGAAGTAAGTGCTCATTTTCAACTGGCAAAGTGGAATCTGATTTCCGTTCGCTGAAATGGCTAACGGAGACCTAAGTTTATCAAATTAAAATTAATTAATAAGTAGTTACTTTTTTTTAATAAAAAATACGTTTTTATTACCTCGCTAATGGTGTCGCTTGATGCCAATGAGTAAGCTACAAGAGATGGTTTGATTCCTTCAAGCTCCCCGAGCCCTTCTGTTAATTTCAAGAAAGATCAACTATTGGAATTCTTCTTTGCACTTACATATATGTATATATAATATACCATCATATTCATCAAATTGGTAAAAAATTTTGTTTTTATGGTCCCCATTTGAAACAAATGGTGATAAAAGCATTCCACGAGAATGCGGCGAAGTTTTGTTGTCACCCATTAGAATATTTGTATAAAAAAATATTTTTGTTAAACCGCGTGTCAATTCCACAAAGATATACTGCTGACTAAAGACAGTGAAGTCAACTATACTTGATGTTGCTATCACTGTTTTGCTAATGTTCTTATTCGCGGTATTGCAGTATACGGTTTTTTGTTTTTGTTGTTGTCGGAATAGCAAAATTTTTGCCTAAATAAATGAGATTGAGTACCGTAGACATAGTTTGAGAAAATCTCAATTTTTGCCTTTTCCAGTTATACGAGGTATTGCATTTGGCGTATACGAGGTATTGCGCGCCAAGCGACGAATCGCTCAATTGTTGAGACTAGAGTCTCCGTGGATCTGCCCTTGCTGTGGCCATGTTGCGCATTAGATAAAATCTCCCGAAGTCTTTCCAGAGTCTTAAGTAGAAAGAAGGAAAGGTGAAAGGTCTAAGACCGCCAGGTTTATAATGAGAAGCTCTGCCTGCTTTCGGTGTGTGAGCACTACCTTGACTTCTGTCCAGACTCCGGGAATGTAACCATGTCTTAGGCAGCTGGAGAAGATGCTTTTTAGCCATGGCTTTGTACGTTCCATGGTTTGTTGTAGCTGGGCCAGATATACATATTCGTCCGGTCCTGACGACTTATAGGGTTTGAAATTAGGCCCAACAGATTTTACTTTCGCTTATAATTTCGTTGATAAGCTGTTGTATAGCATCTGCTGCGGAATATGGAAGAAAACGCGCAACAACCTCAACAAAAAAAATTCTAAAAAATTAACGCTAATTTTTTGCGACTTGAAATTTGCACTGCATTGTTTTACTAAACTTGGATGGGCTACAAAACTGCATACTCGAAAATTTCTAGAAAAAAGTTTTATTACATTTTTGTGAACTTTATATAAATTGTGAAACTGTGATTTAAGTGGTATATATTTTAGAATGAACTATATTTTCATAAATAATTAATGCACAAAAATTTTCACGAAAATAATTGTGAATATTATATTAGAGCAAGGTGTACACTTTCATTTGTCGCCTAGTGTATATTAGCGTAGTCAGTCTGGAATTTTCACACCGAAAAATCGAACGGCACTAGAAAAAAAATTTTTATCGATTTAGAAAAATTTTATTTAATGCAGTCAGAGTTCTTGGTAATGAGTTGGATATTTTTTTTTTA